TTAAAAGTGTCACGTCACTTTTTGGTTCATCAATTTTTGAGAAAAAAAACTTCAGTGTTCCAGAAGCCAGAACCTGAGTAAAGGAAATCTTTTGCCGTTTATACTTTAAATTTGGTTATTTTTATAAAAATTAATCCAATCAACACTTTTACAAATGGTACTGTTACAACAAGCATATTTGATTATAGATCACATAATTGGAGAGGATCATTTTTAGTCTATGTCATATAAATTTAATATAAAATATTTTATTTTTAGTAAAAATAAATTATTATTAAATTATTTAAATTATTGATAAAAATAAATAAATATTTTTAAATATATTAATAATTAATTTTTACTTACTCAACCTAATTAATTGACCAATCCTTTTTTTTTTTTAGTTTTTCCAAACCCAATTATATAGTCCAGTCCAACCCATAAGTTTCTTAAACTTAATTGCTCAAACCCAACCCAATTTGCATTATCTTCTTAAACTTAGTTGCCCAAGCTCAACCCAATTTGCTAGTAACCCTAAAACTAGAAGGACTATTTCAAATTTCTTAGATTTGTGAATCTGCTCTGCGATTTCTCCTCTCCAAACTCCAGATTCCAATCTCCTCTCCTCTGCGCTGTAGCTCCTTGGCTTTGTTTCTGTTCTGCAATTAGTCAATTCCCTTCAACTTATCATTTTCGGCAACTTTTGAAAGGTAGTGCCCATAACTTTGTTTCTATTCTTCAATCGGCTACTTGCAGCTTGCTTGAGCCTAAGTTGCAAGTATTTATGAGTATTTGAGTATCTGTGCTTGATGATTTATTTTGAGATGAAGCAGATCTCATTCTTTTGGCCTTGTTATTTCCGATTTCATTTTTCCTCCAATTGTTCGCAAGATTGTCAGAATGTGGTTTTTTGTTGTTTACATGCCTGCGCAGCTTCTTTCTCGCATTCGCAGCAAACGATAATCATATTATTATTTTGAAACTCATTCAAGCTCTTAATTCATTCTATTTTTAGTTAATTTCTTAAATGAGAAACGAGCATCAAGTTTTATTTGGCGGGGGCTTTGAATACCCGCAGGAACCAATCATTTCTCACAAATATGGGGACAGAGGCTATTTTTTATCCTCAGCAAAAAATATCTGTGGGGATCCTCATACTCGTAATTGATGGGAATGGGGATGGGGAGGGGATCCCCACCCCTATGGGGACCCGTCACCATCTCTAGTCATACTCCAATTATTCATCTGTAGTGAATCACCTCTATTTCCCGACAGTGAGAGGTGGAAAATTGCTTCATCCTTAATTAGGAAAATATATTGCAAAGTTCATGAATCAGTTATATTCTTGGTATGATCGCAGGATTCAGCTCATTCTTATAGCTTGCAGCCAGTCCACCGTATGAAAAAACGTGCTATTTGATTTTTCATACAACCACAAAATCAAAATTAAGTCCTTTATGTGATGTTTCAATAGTGAAATGGCATGAATTTTCTTTTATTAGAAGTTTTGAATTTGAATTTTGAAATTGATGAAAAATTGATTGAGGAAGGAGAGGTAACTAGCTTCTTCTCTTTTTTTTTTTGTAATATTTTTTTGATATTTAGAAATTACATTGAATCTCAATTACTTTAGAGTTGAATCATATTGAATTTATAAAAATAAAGTTCTCTCAGCATATATTTCTCCATTCATACATTTTGAATTCAAAATTTTATCTAAAATAAATTGAATTTTTTTTACTCAAATTAATAAGTTACTGATAGTAACTAATCATTCTTATAATTTTATTATATGATCCATTACAAAATGTTAAAAAAAAAAAAGATTCGGAAATCAAAACTAAGCCCCATATATATTTGTTTAAATTAAGGCATTTAATTCCTTCCCGAAGATAAACTCACAATTATTCTAAAGTCAGCCGACCGGACCCCAAGTGAAGTGAAGACAGACCAAATTGAGATGATGTGACTTTGATATGTTTGTTGAATCTGAAGGGTCCCCCCCGATTATGGCCACACTGAAGTGTCCCAACACAGTGAAGTGGAGCCAATAAATCAATAATTAGTAGGAAAATGGAGAAAAGCCAGCCAAGTCCAGATTCTATTATTATATTATTTTCTTGTTGACAGCTGGAGATGCCAACAACATTCTGGTACCAAACAAAATATTCTCACTTAAGCCACATTTCGGTTTTTGCTTATTAGCTTTTGAGTAATTAATTTACTAAGATTAAGGATCTTATGACATGTGAATGGGTCCATTCCATAGCATTCTTTGACCCACTATCCTCATTAGTTCTTTTTAAAATTAAAATCTTTTGCTCTAACCTTGGGACACCAAATGGAAAGAAATTTGAATATGTACAAGAACCATCTACTCTTCTAAGAGACTGCCCCTTTTCCCTATTCTTTGTTCGGTAATCAAATTGGTTTGCTTGACAATCTTTGTGAAATACAAACAAGTTTCTTAACATTATGTACAAGCACAGAATATAGGATTCCAAATTGATATTTTTGTGTGATCTTTCATCATGTCATATCAAATCATGGTTATATCTTTTTTTTTTTTTAATTAGATAAAGGTCACAAAAATTTACTCAATTTATTAATTTGATATATTTGTTTGTTTCAAACAAATTATAAGTAATATTTTTTAATCAATGTAACTTATAAGTCAAATAAGTTAAATCATAGGTTCTATTAAAAGTCAAAACATGAGAATTTCACGGATGATCACATGCCACGTCTAAGGATCAAAAAAGAAAGATGGATGAATAAGAACAAAAGCCAAGCTTTCTCTCCTCTGTAAGCTCAATTGAGCGTCACTGAAAGAAACACATCCAATCGAATTATTGATTCCCTGGAAAATGCCCTTTTCGCTCAGCCTTTCATGTGGCCTGCGTTTATTTCACCTGCTCTATACAACCTCAACATCTATTAACATTTCGGACACAAACTCAGACTCGACTCGTACTGTATTATTAGCATAACCACACCTTAATTAAATTACAACATAAATTTACTTGGTGTTGTCTTAATCCCTTTTACTGTTTCCTCTTTCTTTCCAGTACACATGGAAGCAGCTTTGAAATGATTTGACGAACACAGACAGCCCTGAAATTTCGCCGACCATTGCGTCCAGAGTTATTATATTGCTACACACCGCACCGGATGCTGCGTTGCATTTCAACGTACATGTTGTTTTCTCCAAATGGAAACCCAAAATGTTCCCAGCCCAACCCTTCACATAGCCCCTCTTTCAGCTTCCCTCTTTCTCCTCCCTGAACACGCCATCACCTTACTTCCATCTCCCCAGTTGATTCTTTTTAACCCCCCCCCCCCCCTTGTTTTTCAACTTCTGCATTAAAAGGGTTCAATTATTTTAAGATTTGCCAAAATTGTGAACGTTTAGGACAAGTTGGGTGATTTTGTGATAAGTGAATAATGAGGAATATCTAGGTAGGCGTGTTTGGAGCCAAGAAAACCATATCTTTCTCATCAAATCGAGAGATGGGAAAGTGGATTGGCTCAAGGGAATCTGAGTGCGATGAATAAGGCACCAAACTGTGGGGTTGTTTGTTGCACTGATTTTGCCGCATTTGGTTACTTTTTCTCTTTTCGGTTTGGGGAATCGGTCACGATTTTTCCAGCACTTGGGTGGTTTTGAAATCCGATGGAGCACAAATTCGTCTCCCTCCGTGTCATTATTGATGCATTGATGGATTGAAAGAGAGAGTGAAAGCAAACGCAGAGTAATAAAACGAGCGCGAGTCCATTCATCACATGCATGCATGATGGTGATGGTGATGTTGATAATGCCATTGCCATTGCCATGCAACAAAATTTTGCTCCGTTTTCTAAGCCTTATATGATCTCACTGAAAACTCTGCCCACCAATTATGCTTCCATCTGATGTGATGTTATGGCGCTATGCTCTCTCTCTATCTCTTTCTCTCTACAAAAGAAAGCAGAGGGGATCATCATAGATTCAAAGGAAAGGGCTCCAAAAATGGCAAACTGGTTAAATAGAGTTCATCTAAAAGTTCAATTCTTTCCCATCTGACTGTTATTTCTTTCCCAAGAATCAAATTAACTCCACCTGTGCTTTAATAAGTTCGATTGATCATCCTATTCTTGTTTTCAGTTTAGGTAATTCTTACTGAGAAGATGTGGTGAATTTAGACAAGGATGAGAGATAATGGAGCGGACACATAAAAAAAAAAAACCTAAAACAAAGAGCATCGGATGCATTATTGCATTGCAAAATGGAAGAAAATAATGCTGGACTTTTGAAGCAGAGAGCAGACCATGAGTACATCCAGTACCCTTTAATCAATCAACTTTGCACCCCTCTAGGTACCATTGTTCCTTATCTTGTTTATGACTTTATTTCATGTGCAGATTCGTAGATTATTGGAGTCGGCACTAGGGTCTCACCTTTCGTTTTTTTTTTTTTTTCATCGTTGTTGTTACAACTTGCAATTATATTATTATTGTTATTATTATTATTATTTTGGTTCGACATTAAAAGATAATCATTTTTCATTTCTTTTCTTACTTTACTTACATATTTTACAATTTGAATTCAAAATTTTTTATTTTTAATAAAAAAATTATTATTAAATTATTTAGATTATAATGC